GCACAAATGTTAATTGTCATTTGTCAGTCGAACCCTGGCTTTTGTCCAGGTTTTCTTTAATTTAAGTATGCACTGTTTCAGTGTCTGAGGAGTCGCGAATGTTAATACTATTGGAACAGAAGTAAGCCAATTGGCACATTGAATCTCTCCGCTATTCAGTGAGATCACAGTTGGTCTGATAATCCTCAACTCGGTTTTCAACTCCTTTTCCCCATAATCCTTGCTTCTGTTATCTGTCTATCTCAGCCTTGAATATGCTTAATGACCCAGCCTCTACAACTCTTGGCAGTAAAACATAAAAAATCCACAGATTCACTAGCCTCTGAGAGAAGAAATTCCTCCTTACCTCTATCTTAAATCTATCTTAAATATGCAACTCCTTACTCTGAGATTATGTCCTGTGGTCCTCAACGTTCCAATAAGGCAAAACAGCTCCTCTACAACTACCAGTCAAGTCCAATAAAAATGTTACATTTCAATAAGGCCTCTTCTCATTCTTCTAAATTCCAATGACTACAAGCTGAAAACTGTGCAATCATCAAAAATCATACCCAGTTCTGACCTTAGGATGGAGAGAAGATCCAGGGTCTTCGTGAGGCCACACCTGGAGTGTTGTATGCAGTCTCCATTGTCTTATGCAAGAAAAAGTGTTTTTGTGTTAGAGTGAGTGTAGTGAAGGTTCAGTAGATCAATTCCTGGGGTGGCAAGATTGTTGTATCAGAAGAAATTGAGCTGACTAAGCCTATATTTGCTAGAGTTTAGAAGAATAAGAGGGGATTCCATTGAAGCATACAAAATTCTGACTGAACAGACTGGATGTGGCAGACCAGAACAGTCGTGGCCTTAGGTCTCTGGCAGAAAGCAGACAGTAGGGATAAAGGCGGTCTTTATTAGGATGGCAGTAGGTAACTAGTGGAGTCCTGCAGGAGTCAGTGTTGGGACCAGAAATATTTATGTTATACATTAACGATCTGGGTGAAGGAATTGAGGATGTTGTTACTAAGTTTACAGATCCCATAAAGATAAGTGGAGGGGAAGGTAGGTTGATGAAGCGGGGATGCTACAGAAGTTCGTGGTCAGGTAAGGAAAGTGGGCAAAGAAGTAGCAGATGGAATACGATGTGGAAGAGCTTATGCACTTCGGAAGGAAGAATAAAGGCATAGACTATTTTCTAAATGGGGAAGGGCTATGGAAATCTGAAGCACAAAGAGATTTGAGTCCTCATTCAGAATTCTGATGGTTAACTTGCAGGTTCATCTAGCAGTTAGGATGGCAAATGCGGTGTTATCATTAATTTCAAGAGGGCTAGAATACAAGAGCAGAGATGTACTGCTGAGTCTGTACAAGGCTCTTGACAGTCCACATTTGGAATATTGTGAGCAGTAGTGGGCCCCGTGTCTAAGGAACAATGTGCTAGCCTTTGTGGGGTCCAGAGGGGATTTACAAGAATGATCCCAAGGATGAAGAGCTTGTCATACGAGGAATGGTTGAGGACTCTGGGTCTGTACTCGATGGAGTTTGAAGAGGGATCTGATTGAAAATTACAGAATACTGAGAGGCCCATATAGAGTGGACATTGAGAAGGTGATTTCCATTACTAGGAGAGATTAGAACCCAAGGATGCAGTCGCAGAGTGTTGGGACGATTGTTTAGAACTGAGATGAGGAGGAATATTTTCAGCCAAAGTGTATTTAATCTGTAGAACTCATTGCTGCAAAGATCTTTGGAGGTCAAGTAACTGAGTTTACTTAGACAGAGATAGATAGGTTCTTGATTGGTTGGGGAATTGAGGGTTACAGGGAGGAGGCAGGAGAATAGGGTTGAGAAACGTGCCAGGTATGATTGAATGGCAGCGCAGATTCTGGGGTGAATGGCCTATTCTGTACCTATACCTTTACAGTGTTACGGTTTGATGGACCTCAAGAAGGTCAGATAAATTGGGTGTTGACCCAGATAGTAGAAAAATAAATATATGATCCGCATTGTTCAATGAAAGGAAGCATTACCAGCTGAGACTGATGGTTTGAGAGGCTCACTTTCTTATCTATCAGTAAGAGTCCTACTTGAAAGACTGGAAATTTGAAATCTTTCTCTCACAAATAACTGCACCAGAAAATTAACCCACACGCCAGAAAAAGCGCAGCTTTTGCTAAAGAGTTAATTCTTTTAGACAGTTGCAGCCCACTTGAACCAGTGACTGCTGGAAATACTTATACAACACATCAGATCATAAGAAGGAGAAGGCCCCTCAAGCCTGCTCTTCCATTTAGTGATATCATGGTTGTCCTGATGGAGAGGCCTCAACTCAACCTTTCTGCCTGCATCTGCATAATTTTGATTCCTTTGTAAATCAAAATTCAGCCAAGCTCAGCCTTGAACACTATTCAATAATCCAGCCACTCTGCTCTGAGTTAGTGAATTCCAAACATTCACAATCTTCTGAGAGAAGAATTCCCCCTCATCACCATTTGAAATAAGAAACCCTTAGTCTGAAATAGTGCCCCTCCAGTTCAAGAAGGGCAACATTTATCTCTCTATCTCTAAAGAGAATGTTTGCCTTCTCCAAACATCTTATGTTTGAATAAGATCACCTCACATTCATCTAAAGCTCAGTGAGTAAAGTCCAAACTGGCTGAATCTTTACTCTTTATCACAGGAATTAGCTGAGTGGCCCTTCTCTGAAAGCTGCCTATATGCAAAGGAGATCAAATCTGGAAGCAGAGTTCTCAGTTTTTAATATTCGATCATGGGGTGTGGATGTTGCTGACTGCCAGTATTTAGTGCCCATCATTAGTTGCCCTGGAGGTGATGGTTGCAAGCTGACTTCAACCCCCGTGATCCTTGTAGGTCACCCTTGGTGTTGACAGGAAGGGAATTTGAGGATTTTGAACTAGTGAAAGCGAAGGATCAGAGATGTGATTTCACGTCAGGATGGGAGCTTGCAGATGGTGCTGCTCCTATGCATCTACCGCCCTTGTCCTTCTAGTTAGTAGGAGTAGTCGGTTTGAAACATGCTGTTGAAGGAGCCTTGACGAGTTACTATGATGCATCTTACTGAGGTTGCCACTGTGCATTGGTGTTGAAGGTGCTAGGTGGGGTGTCATTCCAATGGGCTGATTTGTTCAGGATGATTTTGAACTACTTCAGTGTTAGGGCCTCATCCATTCAGGAAAATGAAGAATATTCCATAACGCTTCTGTGATGTGCTTAGTAGATTGTGGATAGGCACTGGGGAGACAGGAGGTGAGTTAATTGTTGCAGAATTCCCAACCTTTGACATGCTCTTGTAGCCATGGTATAGCTGGTCCAATTCAACTTCTGATCCATGGTAACCTGTCTAACATTGACAGTGCAGGATTCCACAATGCCTTTGAACACCAAGGGGTGCTGGTTAGAAACTCATGGTGGAGATGGTCATTGCCTGCAACTTATGTGGCATGAGTGTTATTTGTCGCTTGTTAGCCCAAGAGTGGATGTTGCTCGAGTCTTGCTATATATGGACACAGACTGCTTCGGTCTCTGAGGGAATTCATGAACAGTGCGGAATGTTGTGCAGTTGATGTGGCCTCACTGATGTCCTGTACAGTTGTAACAAGACATCTATACTTCTGTACGTTAAAAAATAGTACTGCACATGCTTGAAATATCTGCAGGTCTGGCAGCATCTCTGGAGAGAGAGACAAAATCAATTTTCCAGGTTGACCTTTCATCAAAAGTGGGAAATGATAGAGATGTAATAGGTTTTTAGCAAATAGTAGATGGGACAAGGCCAAACAGGTGGTAGGCAGGAGAGATTGACAGATCAGTTAGTTTGCCAAGGCCAAAAGGAATGGTTATGGGGCAAGTAAAGAAACAAGATGTGACCGGAGCAGGTGTGCTGCTGACCGGAAAAACAAATGTGCGTATCTGAAACATGCAAAGAAAAGGAAACAAAACCAAGACATTAATCTTATAGCTTGAAATTATTGAATTTAATCTGGAAGCAAAAGCATCTCATCTTTCACTTAGGTACTTTACAGCCTTCTGGACTCATGTTAACAATTTCAAAATGAGTCCTCCACTTCCATTTTTTGTTGCATGTTTTGGTTATTTTTGTTATTTTATCTTCAGTGTACAGCATGTTTGTCCTAGGTACATATATTTTGTTTCTTTTCTTATTCTATCACCATTCCCTTTGGCCCTGGCGAATCAACTTTTCTCTCATTTTGTCTTGCATGTAATAGCATTACCTCTTGTACTTGTCCCATCTACCCCTTTCTCAACCTCTCATCTCAACTTTTCCCAGTTCTGATGGAAGTCCGTAACTTGAAACTTTGTGTGTTTTTCTCTGCACAGATTCTGCCTGACCTGCTGAGTATTTCCAGCATTTTCTGTCTTTATTCTGTACTTCTTGCAATGGAGTTGTCTTGTAATTACTTGGGACCTAAATGCTAACTTTGATTCACTTACAAGGAAATCCAGGTCCCTCTGTAGTATCACATTCTGTAGTCTCTCCATTTAAATTTTATTCTACTTATCCACTAATTTATATCCGGGTAGACAACTGCACATTTTGCCAATTATACGCCTTCTGTTAAATTTTAGCCCACTCACGTGACTTGTCTATCCCTTTTGTGGACTATTGATATCCTCCACTTAGTATGTTTTCCTGCAATCTTTGTTTCACTAGCAGATTTATCTATCGTACACTCTTACCTTTTATTGAAATCATTAATATTGATTATTAATAGTTGAGACCCAGTATTGATCCTGTGGCATCCCACTAGCTGCATTGAGAATAAGCCTTCCATATTCGTATTGGAATCTCTTCATTGCTATTCTAATGTAATGTAGTAATGGTCAAAACGTGCAGATGATTTCTTTGGCTATATAGTTGAAAGATTAATTGAAAAATGCAAAATTGGCTTTCCATTACATCACAACAAAATAACAACATACTTCCACCAATGGTATAATAGACTTACTTTTTTAAAATAGTAACATTTCCAGTATTTTCTCAGGGATACAGAGTCGAGACAGCGGCAGCAGCTGCTTGATGCGGGTTTGCATTCATCAGCTCGCTATGGTAGCCATGACAGCCACCTCTCCATGATGGATATGAAGAAAAAACCACGGAAATGGTTAGCCTCAGAAACATCAGAGAGGAGATGCCAAATCTGCCAGCAGTTGTGTTACCTATCCATGGTGAGTTGAAAGGTTGGTTGGGGTAGGAATGGAGATGTTCAATATCTGATCACAGTACTTGGTTAATTACTAATGGTGAAAAGAAAGTTTTTTTGTTGGCTTGTTTCATACTATCTTCGTCTTACTGTAGATTCTCCTGTGCTCTTTCTAGCCCAATGATATGCAAGAGGATATCTCCTATTTGCAAGTTTAACATCAGTATGGAGTAGGGAAGGGTAAATGCAAAGCATGATTTGGCATTTGGCATTTAGCCAAGAAGTGAAGAAAAAATTTGCATTCACACACGGATTTTTATGTTCATCAGTTGTCCCAAAACACTTTTAAAATCAACTAAATCACTACAGAATGCTGGATGAATTTCCACTTCTGTACCAGAGGCTCAGAAACCATACAAATGCAAACCAATTACTAGGGGTCACGATTTCAAGGTGAGAGGGGAAAAGTTGAAGGGAGATATGCGTGGAAAGTTCTTTACGCAGAGGATGGTGGGTGCCTGGAACGCGTTGCCAGCGGAGGTGGTAGAGGCAGGCACAATAGCGTCATTTAAGATGTATCTAGACAGATACATGAATGGGCAGGGAGCAGAGGGATACAGATCCTTGGAAAATAGGCGACAGGTTTAGATAGAGGATCTGGATCGGTGCAAGCTTGGAGGGCCGAAGGGCCTGTTCCTGTGCTGTAATTTTCTTTGTTCTTTGCCAAACCAGGATTTGAGCAGACAGTCCAGGCTGACACAATAGAAAATTTTAACGTTAAGCCCAGGTTTGTGTCTGCTTTTCAGGTGGATGAAAAAGATTGCATTGCACAAATCAACAGGTAGCAAAGGTTTTCTCGATGCTTGTTCAATGTGACATCTTCAATCAGCATCATCAGAGGAGATCATCTGACTATTCTTCTTAACAAATTAACTATGCAACTGTAAAACCACATTTGAAATGCTTTCTATTTATTATAAATTGTTTTAGGGTCTTCTTGGAACATGAAAGGTACTGTACTATATAAATATAACTGTGATACTTCATTGAATCATGGCAACAGCACATCCCACTTTTTGATTAATCTGTACTGAGTTGGATTGTTGCAATCAAGGTGGATAGCTACAATTTCCATAGAACAGCATGGAGAAAATTCAGCCAGCACTGCTGCTTCTGGTATCATCTAGAATGACCGTTCTGTGTTAGTGCTGTTGAGCGCATACATCATACATTCCTTCAAGGTGCAAAATCTCAAAAAAGGTCAGTCAACCATGGCTGATAAAGTAATTTAAAGATTATGTAAGATTAAAAGAAAAGGCTTACAGAGTGGCCAGAAATATTATATCTGAGCATTGAGAAATTTTTAAAATTAAAGTGGAGGACCAAGAAACTGATAAGAAAATGTAGAATAAAATACGAATGCAAACTAACAAAAAAACCTACATTGGGCTGTAAAAACTTCTACAGGTACGTAAAAATGAGAAAATTTCATGAAGAAGAAAGTAGGTCCACTAAAAGAAAAGTCAGGAGAATTTATGATGAAGAATATGGAAATGGCAGAGAAGGTAAATGATTACTTTGTGTCTGTTTTCACTGAATGAGATGCAAGTGGCAAGGAAGACTGAGGATTTAAAAGGATGGTAGTATGGGTAAGAAGGTTGTACTGGAGAAATTAATGGGTCTAAATGTTAATAAGTCCCTGGACCTGATGGTCTACATCTGAGTGTTGAGGAGATGGTGATAGAGATACCATTTAGGACTGAGATGATGAGAATTTTGTTTTTAACTTGGAAGGTGGTAAATCTCCAGAATTCTGTACTGCAGGCGCCTGAGGAAGCTCAGTCAAGTATATTTAAAGTAGAGGTTGACATTTTTGATTATCAGTGGTGTAGAGGGTTTGGGCATTATGTGGTTATTGAAGTATTTGATTGGCTATAAACAGTGGAACAGTCTCGACAAACTACAGACAGACCTCTAACCATCCAGCACCCTTCTAAAATATTTTGAAGCATCAATTTCAATCAACTTAACAGATGGGGCATTCAGAATCCTGACAACTGAGTGAAAAAGATTCTCCACAGGCCCCCTCTAGGTCTTTTTTGTCAGTGATTTTGGATCTATGACTCTAAGACGAAAAGATATAGGAGCTGATGTAGTCCATTCAGCTCATTAAGTCTGCTGCACCATGAACTGAGATCACGGCTGTTCTGAGAACCCTCAATTCCACTTTCCTTCCTTTATTCCATGCCTCTTGATTTCCTTCCTGCTTAAAAATCTATTAACCTCAGCCTTGAATAAACTTAATGACCCAGCTTCTGCAGACATCTGCAGTTAAAAATTCCATAGCTTCACTACCTTCTGAGAGAGAAGACATTCTTCCTCATCCATGTCTTAAATGTGTGACCCCCTTAATCTGAGGTTATACCCCCTGAACCTAAACTCTTCCACAAGAGCAAAACAACCTTTTCACATATACCCTGTCAAGTCCCATAAGAATCTTGTACATTTCAATAAGGTCATCTCTCATTCTTCTAAACTCCAAAGAATTACAGGCACAACCTGCTCAAGCTCTCCTCATAAGAAAAGCCCTCCATACCTGGGGTCAACCTAGTGACCCTTATCTGGACAGCTTCCAATACCAGTCTAGTCATTAGCCCACTTACCTGAAGGAAGAATATTTTGCTCATTCAAAACACCATGTGTTTTTGAAAATCTCCATTAGGTCACCTCTTCTTCTTCTCTATGTAACTTGGTCTCTCAAATCTTCTTGATAATCCTAAATATTTCTTTCTTCTTTAATTCTGATGTGGGATTAAAATAATAATTAAATCTAGTTTTATACTGACATGTCCTAATTTTAATACTGTAGTTGGAACATTTTTATTAATATGTTGCTATGTCGTTCAGTTTAATTGCAGTCAGTTTCTGGGATTGATTTATGGTTGATTAGAAGCCTTTTTCCTGAGTTGGATAGCCACTTAAATCTATTTGATTCTGGCTGTTCTCTGAAAAGCTATTTCTCATTCTGCCTGATTCAAATGTGAGACCGTGACTGAAGCCTTCATACCGTCATAAGCCAGATAGCTGCTTGCTCAAAGAAAAATGGTAGATTAGTGGCCACTGCACAGAAATCATGATTTGGCATCCGTAAGAGCAATCCGATATGCTTCGTTAGTTGCTGTTTGCTCCAGGAGGTAGTCAAATGTAATTATTGCAAACTGCTACATTGATTTATTAATCATAAACTATTATTTTAATTTGACATCTAAATTTGTTAGCCTCGACACAGCTGTAGTACTTTTCTCCTCATCTAAAGATTGAAGAAGCCCTACTCCAGCGATTTCATCTAATACACGTTGCATGGAAGTGTCAATGTTGGGAAGATTCGGCGCATTCAGATTGAGATGTTACTCCAAGGACTAGACTGCCCTATTAGTTAAACAGATTCCACAACAGTAATTGAAAAGCAGCAAGGGAATTGTAACTTGTTTCATGTCAACTGCTATCTGTTATATGATATCAGCTAACAGATAATCTAGTTATGTAATTGTTCTTTGTGAGAGTTAGCAGTGTTCAAATTTGCTGCCGTCATGTTATAACGCTGGTCACCGTTTCAAGTTTGGCTGTAAAGCAGTTTGGAAATGCCTTGAGAACATCAAATATACTACATTAATGCAACCTTTGTTTTAAGTCATGGTCAAATGCAATGTTGTATTGCGGCTTTCTGAAGCCAAAGATGATTGGATGAGATAACATGTAAAAATCAAAATCTTAAATAAAGAGAAGAGGGTTATTCAGTGATCTCCATACACACTTCATTTTTTTTCTAGATATCTTTACAAAGTGCAAGTGCTCTCTGGGTCTTGCAAGTAAAATTTCACTTAAAGGGAAGGAGCTAAGACATTGAAACTCCCAAAATGTTCTAATATATTTCAAAATATTATAGACTGGACTCGTTTAGACTAAGCTGCAGTAGGACACAGGACAGAAGAGAATATTGGTTTTTGCTGACAATATATAGTGAACATGTACTGGTCTTTAGGTGAGATGGAAGTAATTTCATAATCAAATACACAAGAATTACTTCAGGTAAGCTATGATGGCCTTCCTGGTCTCCATAAATCTCAAAAATGTTATACCAGCATTACTCTAACTGTACCTCTGTTGGACCTCCAATGAAAGTTCTGATTTTTGACGACAAATTGATTGTATGTTGACTAATTTGTAGTACTGACCCATAAAATTCTTTCTACCTAGGTAGTACAAGAAAATGAGAATGTTGTCTTCTGTCTTGAGTGTGCTCTTCGCCATGTAGAAAAGCAGAAATCTTGTCGGGGATTGAAGATGATGTATCGCTATGATGAGGTTTGTGTGTGGAAATCCGTGCATTTTCTGATTACAAACTGAATATGCCCCTGTTGTATATCCTCCTCCTAGGTGTAGGGGTATCATACAGCTTCATTGGTTCTGGGTAATCAAACCATGAGGGACCCTTCAGATATGTCATCATGATATTGTAGGTCAACTGCAGGTGACTTACTCTAGAATCCTGCATCATTTCTTTTCAATTATCTAAAGATTCTCTTTCACTAAAGCTTGGGTAAAACTTAAAGCAGGAGCTTTGATTAAGACAGTCAAGAATATAAAGTGCCCTCTTCCTTAATATGTCCTGCCCAAATCAGATTTTCCCTTTAGTCCTTAAAGGATATTGATAGGCCTTCCTCCCAGATATACTTTCTAACTCGATTATGAGCCTGTACAGATTGCCTTTAAGGTCATGAAGTTATTATTTGTATGTATGTTTTAACCAGTGGCAAGAATACTTGTTCCTATATTTATTTTCCAGCAATTATTCAATTTCAATTTGATGTAAGTAGTTTCTTGCGGTCTGTAACAATTGACATATTCAAAGCATTAATCACCAAGATCTTAATAAAAATAGATGTATATGGCAACACAGACTGTGGGTTTTTTCATACATGTAAGTGACTTCACACCATTCTTGTTTAGATTCCTGTATAATTCTCTGTCTTCTGATTCTTCTGTGCTTTATGCATTTGAGAAACTATATCTTAGTTTATCGCTTATGAGGCAGATTTGGGTGGCCAAATGTCTGAGGCCCTCAGCTTCTTCATAGAGGCTACGTCTCACATTTTGGAAACTTGCAAGGTTACTTCTCGTCTCCTGACTTCGATTCATAACTTATAGAAAGCCACTGCCCAATTTTTCCAATTATGGTTGGTGCATATATGCCCAGACCCAGACCCAGACCCAGACCTGGTTGTTTAACTGTTTGTTTTCAATCTCAGTGGTGTGCTACAAGGGTCGCTTTTCATCATTTATATAAATGATTTTGATGTGAACATAGGCATGGTTAGTAAGTTTGCAGATGACACCAAATTGGAAGTGTAGTGGACAGTGAAGGAGGTTACATCAGAGTACAACGAGATCTTGAAGAGATTAATGTGAGGTGCTGCATTTTGGAAAGGCAAATCAGGGCATTACTTATATACTTAACATTAAGGTCCTGGGGAGTGTTGCTGAACAAAGAGACCTTGGAGTGCAGGTTCATAGTTCCTTGAAAGTGGAGTTGCAGATAGATAGCATTTGGTATCCTTGTCTTTATTTGTCAGTGCATTAAGTATAGGAGTTGGGTTGTCATGTTGCGGCTGTATAGGACATTAGTTAGGCCACTTTTGGAATACTGTGTGCAATTCTGGTCTCCCTGATGTAGGAAGGATGTTGTGAAACTTGAAAGGGTTCAGAAAAGATTTACTAGGATATTGCCAGGGTTGGAGAGGCTGAATAGGCTGGGGCTACTTTCCCTGGAGCATTGAAGGCTGAGGGATGACCTTACAGAGGTTTATAAAATCATGAGGAGCATGGATAGGATAAATAAACAAATTCTTTTCCCTGGGGTGAGGGTGTCAAAAGCTAGAGAGCAGAGGTTTAAGGTGAGAGGGGAAAAGGTTTAAAACGGACCCAAGGGGCAACCTTTTCACGCAGAGGGTGGTGCATGTATGGAATGAACTGTTGGAGGCTGGTACAATTACAATGCTTAAAAGGCATCTGGATGGGTATATGAATAGGAAGGGTTTAAAGAGATATGAGCCAAATGCTGCAAATGGGACTAGATTTGTCTAGGATATCTGGTTGGCATGGATGAGTTGGATCAAAGGGTCTGTTTCCATGCTGTACATCTCTATGATTCTGACTGTCTACGAATTATTTGTTTCTGCCTTTAATGGATACTTTGAAACTTTAAGGAAATACTAAACCAGTACTGTTTCTATCAATCCAAATAAACCAGACATAAAAACTAAAGACATAATCGATAGAAATTACATTTGAAGATTCATGACTGTCTAAGCATGATAACGTGGGAGTACAGATACTTCTTTCTCACCTTCCTTTCTTAGGCCTGCAATCTTGTGCAATGGAAATGCCTTTACCAGCCATCGGTTAATCTGATTGTCAAAAAACAGTTAAATTTTACAATAGATAACAAGGTGTAGAGCTGGATGAACACAGCAGGCCAAGCAGCATCAGAGGAGCAGGAAAGCTGACGTTTTGGGTCTAGACAGAACCTGCACTTCATCCTCCATTTTTTATTTCCTTTCTTGCTGCAGGAGACCCACCAATTTCTAAGTGATTATGTAGACCAAGACTTCTATACTTACCTCTGTAGCAGTACATTCTGCCAAGTCATAGTATGTTGTAAAGAAAACTACAGGTGACCATAACTTCATGGCTTAAAAAATTACGTAGCTCTCCCTTTTACCAATTTCTATGTTGACGGTCATTCTTGCTCATTTCTTCCTACCTTAATTATTTTGGTTTTAATCCCTCCGACAGTCAGTCTAACCTGTTATTTAAAATGTTGCGTCTCCCCCACCCTAGGGAAAAGACTTTTACTATTCACCTTATCTATGCCCCTGATGATTACATACACCTCAATAAGGTATCTTAAATTTTATTTGTTTATTCTCCTTGAGAAAAGTTTTTATTTCCAAAAGTGACCTATGTTACAACTCACTAGGGTGGTGCGCTGTAAGTTGAGCATGTTACATTTTTTAATACTGTAGTTGGAACATTTTTGTTAATATGATGCTATGTCGTTCAGTTTAATTGCAGTCAGTTTCTGGGATTGATCTATGTTATGCATGTTGCCTCAGTTTGCCTGACTTTCGCACCAGGGTTGACAAATCATAGACTAGGTTTCTGTACAAAGGAGGAATGATTGTTTATTACAAGTAATTAGACTATAGCTGCACATAAACAGATATGAATCACTGGCATGTAACCTTACTGACTGAAACACTAATCAACATATAGACTCCCCCTTTTACTTACACATGTACACACATGCAAATAGGGAGAGGTAGATTATTGATGGGAGGAAGGAAAAAACTGGCAAGTCAGTTCAGTGGTCTGTCTTTCCTGATTCCAATATTTAGATTATCTTTATTTGGCAAGCCAGGCCTTTGATGTTCAATTGTCTTTTTCTGGAAGCTTCTGTTGGTTTCTAAGTAGTATAGAGTGACTGATCCACATCAATTCCGAAGTCTCAGCTCATAGCAACTGCTGCATGAACAGTACCTGGCTGTTTTTAAGTTTAACTTGTTTGATTTTACTGCAGACAACAGGAAACTTCTGCATCTTTTCTCTCTGTGTCTGTGTCTCTGTAATTTGTTTCCAGTTCCAACTTGCTCAGTTAACTGAGAACCAATTAGCTTCATATGTAAACAGCTCCTGATCATCCACATCTTCCAGGAACTCATAGTCGCAAAAATCAAGTTCACGATAGGTACCAAATTCCTTGCTCTGAAATTATGCAGCCATCCTGATAAATCCCTGTTTTTAAAATTAGTTCTTTCTCATGTGGTCCACAGTTTATAAAGGTACAAAAATAAAAAGACATGGTTCTTGCAACTGTGTCAAATTTATCAGTTCAAAATATCCCAAGTCCAAAGGATATTATTGTTAGTCTGCCAGATGTCAATGTTCAATTTTATTTTGTCTTTCTTGTTAAAACTTTTTCTTTTTATATACACGGGACCCACCTTGAGTATAAACCTTACTTTATTTTTCTAATTCTGTTAAACTTCTAGCAACTTTCTCTTCTTGAACACTGGAAACAGCAAATCATCAATTTATCTGATTTCAATTTTCAAAATAAATGATGTCCAAGCCTGATGGTTTTGCGACAGAAGTACTCTCATTAAAGTTTGAACCTTTGAAAGGCAAAATCTTAAGTACAGATCATCACCATGCTGTGATTTTGATGTCTGCTGATAAATCATGAAAACTCCTAAAGCTCTTGCCATGCTAACAGTATTCTTGTTATGAACACCTATTAAAATGAGAAAGTAACAACCTATTATGTCTCTGTTTAAAAGCCAAAGAGGTTTATCATAACTAACTTCTATCACTGTGGGGAAATAGCTACTTAAAAATTAATAAACGTGAATTTCGTATTAATTAATAAACTATATTCAGCAGTGTAAAAGTTGTTGGATGGCAGATAAAATATAGAATTAGTCAGCACAAGACATTAATTTCTTTGTAGGCTTGCAAGGAGACAAAAATTTTTAGATATCATTGTTACTTCACAAAATTATAAAATTGCCCCAATTTTTAAAAAACTAAATGTCATTTTACACGTCGTTTCAATACTTGTACTACTTGAAACTTTCATAAAAATTCCTAACACGATTAAATCTCAGCCTTTCCTTTATATTTTCTATTGCAAATAACAGTACCAAATCATTATTCATTGTCATGAATAAAAAAAAATCAGTTTTAAAGCAAATAACTAACTGAATCACTTATCTTTTAAACATTGTGAAACAATTCTGTAGCACAGTCCAATGAAAGGTCCTCAAATCTTTATATTGTACTACTCAAAATAACAGCATTTTCTTTCTGAGATAGTCGGAACTGCAGATGCTGGAGAATCTGAGATAACAAGGTGTAGAGCTGGATGAACACAGCAGGCCAAGCAGGAAGGCTGACGTTTCGGGCCTAGACCCTTCATCAGAAAATCTGAAGAAGGGTCTAGGCCCGAAACATCAGCCTTCCTGCTCCAATGATGCTGCTTGGCCTGCTGTGTTCATCCAGCATTTCCTTGCTTCTCATGTTCAATCATGTAAGTGGTACTGCAGTTTGAATTTCCTTAAAGCACTGAGTCCTTGGTTTCAGTCAGAAGTTCCAAGTGCTGATGATTTATGTAATGGTCTTATCCCAGAACTGACCTTTCACTTGATTATAACTATCAAAATTTCCCTGTGGTCACAAATAAAGCTGAATTTTCACCATCTAATAACTCTTTGGCCTCAACATTTCTTATTCATTCACGAATGTGGACATCCTTGGCTAGGCTGGCATTTGCCCATCCCTAAGCTCCCTGGAGAAGGTGTTGGTGAGTCACTGTCTTAACCTGCTGCAGCCCTTTGAATGTAGGCACACCCATAATGCTGTTGGGGAGGGAATTCCGCAGTTTTGACCCAGCCATACTGAACGGTCATTGATATAGTTCCAAGTCAGGTGGTGTGTGGCTTGGAAGAGGTGTTGCAGGTAGTGGTGTTCCCATGCAACTACTGCAGTTGTCCTTCAAAGGTTGTAAAAGTCTTGGGTTTTTAAGGTGCTGATGAGAGAGCCTTGTCTAAACCACTGTAGTAACTTACCATCATTTAAAAGTCTTGCCAATTGGTCAGTTGGTAGCCCTTTTACCTCTGAGTCAGAATGTTATGGGCTGATGTCCCACTACATATCATGAGTACAGAAACCAAGCACGAGATGTCAGTGCAGTATTGAAGGAGCATTAATCTGAGACCCTGCCTACAACCTGTCAGGTTGTGCCTTGCAGGGACGAATGGAACATATAGTATTTCATCGTAGACATTCTGCCAGTGATGCCATTTGTTTAGTAAATAAGATAATAATCATACTTAATTTCCTGAAAATCATCAGTTGACTGAAGAAAATTATTATTCTGTTCTTCCAAGGCCCATATTCATGACTGCTGTGTATTGTTTATAGAGTGGTTTTTAGTGTTGTAAAGAGTGTAAAAAAAATTCTTTACGTTTTGTGTCAACATTATGCAGTCTTGGGTGAGGTCAAATCCAGCTAGATACAGAAGAAGGCAACTGAGTCCTTTGTGATGGCATAAAGCATGTATGTGGGTAGTTAAATTATCTCTCTCCCTATCGTGCAAACGTCAGTCATAACTTGCTTTTCTGAGCCAGTAGCATGCACATCCACCTGAAGTCTGTGGGTTATTTTAAACCAGAATTGATAAATTTTCTGAGATCTAAAGATATTAAGATAAATGTGATAAAGATGAGTGTATGATAATAAACTAGTGGCATGCAGTTGAAATCTAAGAGTTAAAATTTACTGAGTTGCAGTGCCAAGGGTGAGAGCTGATTAGGACTTGCCTTGCATTTGTTATCCTACCCCGGTGAAGCTCATACCCACCCCCGGCTCAGTTGTATCAGCCTTCAATTTAAAACAAAGACTAGTCTAATGCTTCCTCTACTCTGCCCTAACTGAGACAAATGAGCTCTTATGTACTTGTGGTCTTTTTTTTTTCACTTCCAAAATCTTAGGGCCCATACAAATTGCACAGTCAATTGGTGCTGAATTGAGAGTAGGTTTTTTTTTTGCCACAGTCCCAACACAACACAGAACTGGACTATAACATCTTAAAGTAGAGGCAGATTTTCACTCAATTTTGTTAAATGTTAATATTTTGTACAAATAGCTAACAATTCTTGACCTATGAAACTTCAGTATAAATGTATCTTTTTTAAACCGTTTAACATTACAGGATCAAATAAACAATTTAGCCAATCAAATCTGTGGAAAAGCAGCAGCTAACAGCAGCGACAACAATACAAGTACCAGCAAGCCTGCACTGAAAAGAGGGCCTCGAAAACGAGCGACCATTGATGTGCCAGCAACTAGACTTTCGTCCTTGTCCAGAAGTGCTACAAGTTCCCCATGAAGTTGCCAAGTCTTGTACTCAGTTGTTCTTTTTGTACTATAATTTGTGAGTACTTGCTAGAAGAATGCAAGCTGTCTTTGCACTAGCTCTAAAGATTACTTCTGTTTTGTTTTTTAGGAAAAAGTTTGTTTTAGCATTAAAATGTTGGCTTATTTCTTTTAGGAACACCAGACACTGCAGTTGGCAGTATTCCTTGGAATGCAGTAGAGGTGTTTTCATTCACTGTTTTAAAACCAAGTCAAAGGGCTGAACAGTAATCCAAGTTTGCATTTGCCCTTTTGGCTGAAGCAAACCTCTTTAAGTTTGATTTTTTTTTGTTACTGTGAACAGGTGGGATGTTTTAAACCCGTTTGAACTAGGTTGAAGTTAAGTGCTGTGTGTTTTATCTTGCAATTTCAGTCATGCGAGCAGCTTTTTGGAGGAAGGGAGAGGTAAAACTTGAAAGAAACTGCTTCAGTTTGGCTAAATTTTATGTTTTTGGTTAAGTGTAAGCTGAAAAGTTTGCTTTTCTATTTAGAAAATTGTTCTATTGTTTTTAGAGTCATGGCAGCTGATACTTGATCTGGTTTACAAAGTATAATAGTGGTAATTTTGAAAGTAAAGTAAAGGTGATATTTTTCTCCTTACCAGCACATCACTATGCATCTGTAATAATAAGGCTGCCTGGCTGGAGGAAATTGTGCCTGACTTTCATTAGCAAATCATAAAGTTTTTGGTGCTGTCAATCATTTTACCAGAGAACCCTACAGTGGTGTCCTTTATCCAATTATTGAAGCAGGGCTCCCCTGTTTCGCCTTTGTAGATGTGCAATCTTTGTGACATTCCATTTTAATTCCACTTTCATCTCTATGTTCCTTCTCCATTCTTCCTTTTTTGAATCAGCATTAATGTTCAGTTCATTGATGAGATGGTCACAATGGAGAGCCACTAGAGGATGTGCATATTTCTTTGTGAAATGTGAAAATGCATCTCCTTCATTTCTATTCGTGTTATACTTTCCATATTTGTAAAAAAAAACATTAAAGAAGAAAAAAATAAAAAAATAAAATTTGTATATATGCCTGTAAATTGTTTTAAATACTTGAGCCTTTTGTGGGGGTGGGTTGGGATGGGGTGGAGAAACAAGAGATGAAGAAAAGCCTTATGTTTCAGTTTCTTCGTCGGTTTTGGACGCTTACAGGGTTTCTTGTAACATTTAAGTGCTGCTTACATCACTGAACAAATAATGGTGTAGCTGTTGCCCCTTTCAGTGTATTTTATTAATAAAAAGGGAAACATTTGTTCATTATAATTAGTTTTCATTGCTGAAAATGCAACATTAATTGTAGCTACACATGTTGCACTGAGCTTGCCAGTGGTGACTGTCAAGAAGTCATTTTATTTTTTTCCCAGTTGTTAGTTGGTTGTTGTTGCTGCAGAAGACCGAACTGCTTGGAGTATTTAACAACATAACTGATTTCAAGTGTTTTTCAAATGTGGTTGTCCAGTTTTTATGGCCTTACTATGTATTTTTGTTGTTTCTTTGAGAGCAGACATATTTGACTATTGCTTACTGATTGATTGACATTTAATTTATTAGTTCTGCTCTGCACCTTTCCTTTCTGTGCGGAAAGTTCACATTGTAATTGCAAGTGTTTTTTTACTTTTCAGGTTTGTACTTAAAAGTTTAATAAAACTTTTGAGCAGTTTCCTGTGAAGTTGAGTTGTTCCTCTCTATCTTTTAATGTGAACAGTTAATTGATCAAGTACATTAACTTCAGGGTTTGTTAATTTGTTACCTCATTCACATCAGCCTATTTTCATTCTGCACTATAAATAGTATTGGTTTGTGGCTTGTAGACAACAAAAACTTGACATGTAAATGTAGTGGTAGCCAGTGGTGGATTTGTGTTTTTTTAGAACCATTGGTGTAATTGATTTTTCGCTACGCTAAGAATCTGGCACTACAAGGCTCATTTATTTAGCCCTTCTCCCTCCCATTTTAATAAAATACAATCTTAACATCACTTAATTTGGCTATCCTCTGATTAAGTTTGATCACTGTACTTTTGTATCTTCCTCCTCTGTGTTGCTAAGTTTTGAAAGGACAGTTGAAAGAGACCATTGTCAGATATTTAAAAATATGGAAACAGTGGTTCTTTGGTTTGAGCTGTTATTCAGATTAAAAACTGGCAGTGAGGCAGTACTGAAAAACCTTTTATTAATTTGAAGGTGAAAAGTGCACAACGGAAGTCAATTTTAAGAGTCTTGTATTAGTGAAAACTACAATCAAGCCAACTGGGATTTAAAGGATAGAATAAGGCAGCCTATCAATTCATTAAGCACAGTGCATAGATATGTGAATAATATCTTGGATGGGAAGGTTCATTAGTCAAGGCAGAGAGCTATGCTTCTGTATTTGAAGCAAATGGGTAACCAGTTATAACTTACTACCACAGACACACAAGGTAACAGGAATTTTACACTTTTTCAAAATAGATGTAGTAAAATGGTCTGGATTATCCATTATATATCTTTCACACAATGCAATACTCAGTAACCTTCAACAAAGTTTCAAATAATATCTTGCACTTTACTGAGAGTCACTGTCAGCATTCTGTCCTAAATCTGAATTCATTGTGATCAAACTTGTGTCTATTTGAACATCTTCTTCATCAGACTGGACCAGTGGAGTGTCATCTTCACTCACAGTGTGACTGGCATTGTCATCAGTGAAAGAAGATAATTTCAGTCTAAGTTCATCTTGGTTTGGCACTTGCAGAGTTATTTCACCTTGATTTGGCTCAGACTTGGACCCTGTACAGAGAGAAAAATAACATTGACTTAACTCCAGGTTGTTCACAACCCATCTCCACAAGAATCCAATAATTTCATACATTGACCTTCAAATTGCTATTTGCGGATAAATTTATTTATTTTAAGGCTGCAAAACCAAAAGCACGTGACCGCATCTAATTGGAAGATACCTTAAGGAAAAAACGTTCAAAAATGCAACATGTAGAGCAACCTGTATATTATGAGAGAGAGAGTAGTCTTGAACACATTCCCCTACACCTGTGTGCCTGCTGAATAGCTAGGACAGACATCTCAACAGGCGTGTGCCAAAAATTACTAAAAACCCAAGGTAGGATCAAGAGCAGCACAGCAGATTACCATGAAATTTCAGGTCTACAACCTTGTGCAATAGCTTGCTATAAAATACAACAACAGTTTTTAACAAGTTTCTTATTTATTTAATGAATTAAATAAATATAGGTATAGTTACAATATTTAAAAGACATTTGGGCAGATACACGAATAGGAAAGGTTTAGAGGTATATGGGCCAAATGCAGACAAGTGGGACTCTGTTTATTTTGGGAAACTTGGTTGGCATGGACACGTTGGACCAGTTTCTGTGCTGTGATGCTACCGTTCCTCTTGCCATAATCATGATTGTGAACAATCATAAGAAACAGCAGATTAAGTTAAATTAGACTGTACTAGAAAATTATCTAAATGTCACTTAGACTTGCAATGTTTTCCAGATAAGGGACAAAAATCAATGTTGATTTAGTAGTTTACTGCTGGGGTATGGGGAGTGAGCTTGATTACACAGCAAAATTTTCAACATCTCTCATGTCAAAGATGACTTGCCTTTATGCTGGTTAATGGCTGTTGAGTGGTAGTAAGAGAAACTTGCACTGGTAGAGTGCCTTGAAATTAGAAGAACCAAGCAAATGGGGAAAATGGATGTCTCTTCAATGATTTAAGATCAAAGAACAGCACTTATGGCAAGAGGAACGGTAGCATCACAGCACAGAAACTGGTCCAACGCGTCCATGCCAACCAAGTTTCCCAAAATAAACAGAGTCCCACTTGTCTGCATTTGGCCCATATACCTCTAAACCTTTCCTATTCGTGTATCTGCCCAAATGTCTTTTAAATATTGTAACTATACCTATATTTACCACTTCCTCTGGCAAAGAACCTGCCAGTGTGTGAAAAAGATGCCCCTCAAGTCCCTTCTAAAACTTTCTCCTTTCACCTTAAAAATATGCCCCCTAGTTTTGAACACTCCCACCCTAGGGAAAAGACCTTTGCTATTCAACCTATTAATGCCCCTCACGATTTTATAAACTTCTAAGGTCATGAATTCAGTCATATATGGTTTATTAGTCCATGCTATGTGTCAGTGTGAAGATGATCCCATCTTAGACTTGCTTATGACAGATAATATAATGATCACATCTTGATATTTGCTTAAATTGCAAATTTAGAAGACCAGATATGCACAACCAGTCCAGTTCAATTTTTTTAAAAAAATTCTAGGAAACATCACACTTCAACAAGATTACTGAGTTTATCCCTAACGTGCAATGTTATTTTCAATATCACCACAAAACCACGTATCTGGTCCTGCAAAAAAGTTCCAGTTGTGCTTATGTACCTTTATTATTGGAAAAATGCAAAAAACCATTTGTGACAGAAGATCTGACCAAGAACAGGCACTAAGGAGGAGAAAACAGCAAAGAGGCATATAGCATTTTAACAAATATTTCTGTAGAATGAAGGAGAGAACCAAATCTATTAATATCAAAAAATTTAGTTTCAGAGAGATCCATTTCATGGATGCAGAGACACAGAAGATTATGTATCTGATCCTGTTTCTTCACCACACGGTTAAATTTAGATGTAACAGGGGAAAAAATGGCGATTGATACCCTATGCCCATGGATCTCAAACCACAAATATATAAAAGTGATTCTCAGTTGCTTGATTGCAAATACACTAAGGTGCTACACAAACGTTAAGAAAATGGATGTGAAGTCAAAGGAGGTGATCGAAACCTGGTCAGAGGGGAGGTTTTCAAAGAAGGGTCTTAAAGGGCAAGAAGATTGTAGTGAGTGCAATGAATAAGGCACCAAAGAAAGAGTGGAGAGATTAGGGGAGGTGTGGAATGGCAAGATGTTACAGAAATGGGGAAGAATTTAAGAATATATTCTATGAGAATTTAAATTATATAAGAACTATGGATGCTGGAGAACAGAAACAAACAAAAACAGAAATTCCTGTAAAAACTCAGCAGGTCTAATAGCATCTGCAGAGAGAAAAAAGTTCACATTAATCCTATGATCTTTTTTCAGAATGGTTCTGATGAGTTCTGAAGAAACCACATCAGGCTCAAAACATTAACTGTTTTCTCTCTCCACAGATACTGCCAGACCTACCAAGTTTCTCCAGCAAATTCTGTTTTTGATTTTCTTTGAAAAAGAATTTAAAGACATTGACAAGAACTTGCTAGGGTACCAGAATCAGATGTAGATTGTCATATAAGGCAGTACTTGAAAGAGTTAACTGACATCAGAAGAAAAGCTCTGCCCATCAAGAAGCAAATTCAACAGGTAATAAGGAAAACAAATGGAATGTTGGCCTTTATTTCAAAAGGGAACAGTGTATAAAGGTAGGGACATTTTGCAAAATCACAACTGGGATACTGTGAACAGTTTTTAGCTCTTATCCAAGGAAAGATGTACTGCATTGCAGTCAGTCCAGAGAAAATTCACAAGACTGATAGTGGGTATGGAGGGACTGTTGTATGAGGAGAGGTTGAGTAGATTGGGCCTGTTCCCCTTAGAATTTAGGGGAATGAGATGTGATCTTATTGAAATGTACAAGATTCTTAGGGGACATGATAAGGTAGATGTGGGGAGGTTAATTCCCCCTGTGGGAGAGTCTAGACATAACACGACCAGACTCACTAATCACCCTACTGTACATCAAGGATATTTCAGAGATGACCACAAGACTACTCAGACCCCTAGGTATAACAGTAGCCCACAAACTGACAACCACCCTACGAGAACTACTGATGAACGTAAAGGATCCCATACCCAAAACCAAGGTTATATACAAAATACCATGCAAGGTGGCACGGTGACTCAGTGGTTAACTACTGGACCCTGGTTTGATTCCACTCTCGGGTGACTGTCTGTGTGGAGTTTGCACATTCTCCCCGTGTCAGCGTGGGCTTCCTCTGGGTACTCCAGTTTCCTCCCATAGTCCAAAGATGTGCAGGTTAGGTGGATTGGCCATGCTAAATTGCCCATTGTGTTCAGGGATGTGTAACTTAGGTGGGTTATAGGGGGACGGGTCTGGGTGGGATGCTCCAAGGGTCGGTGTGGACTTGTTGGGCCGAAGGACCTGTTTCCACATTGTAGGGATTCTATGATTCTATGACTATGAAAAACACTATATAGGCCAAACCGGAAGAAAATTGACAATATGGATACATGAACAACAACTAGCCACCAAGAGACACGACCAACCCTCACTTGTCTCACTACACACAGACAACAAGGGACACGAATTTGACTGGGACAACACATCAATAACTGCACAAGCCAAACAGAGACACGCCAGGAAATTCCTGGAGACCTGGTATTCCAACCAGAACACCATCAACAAACACATTGAATTAGACCCTGTGTACAAACCACTGAGAAACAAAACCAGAAGTAGGACCAACCACCCCAGCAAACCAAGGCATATAAACAACAATACGGGACAGAACACCGACGCTTCACCGGAGGCGCACTGACAATGTTACCTAGCATGGTGACAAAACATTTGGTTACAAATCCAACGGTTTGGTGAGCATGTCTACAACCTCAAATTGATCAGAACACAATTTCCCTTTCGCATAGCCTTGCTGACCCTGCTTGATTAGATTACGTTTTCAATTATGCTATTTCTTCCTTAATAATTGATTCCAATACATTTCCAACAATAAATGTTAAGCTAATTAGCCTATCTTTAGCCCCTTTTTTGCCTCCCTCCCTCTTTGAATAGGGGTATAGCATTGCCAGTTTTCCAATCCTCCAATATTTCTCCAGAATCCAAGGATTTTTGGAAAATTACAACCAAATGCATCTGCTACCTCTATACCTACCTCTTTTAGTATCATATGATGCAAGCCATCGGGGCCAGTGCACTTACCTGCCTTTAGCCCCAGTAGTTTGTCTAATAAATTTTCCCAAGTGATTGTGATGGTACTCAATTCCTCCCCTGTATTCTTTAGTATTAATAGACTGAGCATCTTCGATTGTAAAGACCAATGCAAAATATCTTTTTAATTCCTCTGCATTTCTTTGGTCCCCATAACAGTCTCCCCAGATTCAATTTCTAAGGGGCCTATGTTCACTTTGATCTGTCTCTTTCTTTTTACATATTTCAAGAAGTTCTTACTGTCAGTTTTTTAAATATTCCTCGCTAGTTTGTCCTTGTAGCTTATTTTCTTGTTCTTTATTATCATTGTAGTCTTCCTTTGCTGGATTCTGAATTTTGGCCTCCAATTTTTTCATTTTAATACTCTCCTTAACTTTCTTGGATAGCCATGGTTGGTTTATCTCTTTCTTAGGATCTTTCCTCTTTACTGGGATGTAGTTTTGCTGACAGTCATGAATTACCTCCTTAAATGTCTGCCACTGCTTACTCATTGTCATTCCTGACAAGTTCACTTTAGCTAACTCTATCCTCATTTCATTGTAATTCCCTTTGTTTAAGTTAAAGACAGTTGTTTCTGGCGCAAGTTTCTCACTGTCAAACTGTATAATAAATTTGATGTTACGATCATCAAGTCCCAGGGAATCCTATATTCTAATTATTTTTTATTACGCCTGTCTCATGACTCATTACCAAATCCAAAATAGCCTACTCCCTAATTGGCTCCAAAACATTGCTCAAGAAAACTATCCATAATGTACTCTATGAATCTGTAGTCATTGCTATCTTTTACAATTTGATTAACCCAATCAAC